TGGTGGCATTTGATGGAGGCACATAGGGTAGGCATGAATGTTGGATGATAATTTGTTTCCATTAGTGAATAAGATGGCAGTGAGACAATAAAAATATGATAGATTTTTGCTCAGTCACCAATAATTTGTGCAACTTGATAAACCAAGTAATTTTTAAAATGCTGGAAGAATGTTTTTTTTGTTTTGTTTTTTGGTGTGTGATCTTCACAATGTAACAAAAGCAGAAATGACAGACTTTAAAATTAAATCTGCATTAACATTTTCCCCATCACTTTCGTAAATCTGCACAGTCAGTAAAATAGTAAATCAGGCTTGAGTTGTAACATTTGCTAATTTCTATGGTATAAATACTTCCACTATGACAGATTTCAACCCAAGAGTCTAGATGAGATGGGTAGACTTAAGTAACCTCAAGTGCACAGATAATAGTAAAGTAATTAGGAAGTGCAGAGTTTTGAGTATTACCTTTTAAAATATATATAATTTATTCCAAGTTTGCATGTTCATGATTCCCTCCCAGTCTCTGCCACTTTCCTGTTCCGTAAAGGTAGCCACTATTCTTTTTTCTGATGCCATAAATTAGTTATTTCTCATTTAAAGCATTATGTGCAGTTAAGTATTCTTTTATATCTTGCTTTTGTTTTTGCTCAACACGTATTTGTGAGATTCCTCCATGCCATTGGAGATGCTCTAATTTATTTTCATTGTTATACAGAATTATATACAATTAATTCTTTTTCCCTATTGATATTTGGATTGCATTTAATTTAGAACTGTTACAAATAATGTTATTTTAGATAGTTTTGTTCTTCTACTTTGTGTGCATGTGTGTGTGTGTAGGGGCATGCTTTTCTACTGAGTACTTACCTAGGAGTGGAATCATGGGATTCATAGGATATCTGTGAGTTAAACATTAGCAGATAACATCAAATAGTTTCCACTCTTAACCTGCTCAGTGTAGATTGTAATTGTTCCATATCCTTGCCAACATTGGACTTTTTTTTTTTTTTTTTTGTGGTGGTGGTACTGGGGTTTGAACTCGGCCTTGTGCCCATTAGGTAGGCATTCTACCACTTGAGTCATAGCCCCAGCCCTTTTTGCTGTCATCCTTTTTAAGGTAAGGTCTTTTATGCCTGGGCCGGCCTGGACTGGGATCCTCCTAGTTATGCTTGGTTGAGATGGTTCTTGCCAACATTTTGTCTGGGCTGGCCTCAAACCTCTATCTTCTTGCACACTGTCTCCCAATTAGTTAGAATTTCAGGTGTGAACCACTGTGTCTGGCTCTTTTTGTATAGTTGCTGTTTTTTATGTGTAATTATATCTCTTGTGATTTTATCAGTATATTTACTGTGTATTGTGTATGTACCATTTAGCCAGCAATTCTGATGATAGGTAGCTCACTACCTGTCAGAGACTTGATTCCTTAGTTGGACAGAACCTGTTGTTAGAAAATTCTTTTGCTGATCCAAAACCTACCTCTTATTGCTTTATTTTGGCCCTGGCTCTTTCCTTTGGAGTAATAGAGAGCAGGCTAGTTGGTTATGTTGCTGCATTAGCACTTTGTCTTTGGCTTCCGTGGGGCATGATTTTTGAGCTCTTTATCGCCCTGGTCACCATTCCCTGGGTGTGGTTCATTCTCAGTATTTCTCTAAAGTGCAAGACCCAGAGCTATCATTTAATTTGCCAGTGTGAGAGTCTTCACAGTAGAATGCAAAAACCATTATTTGCATTTTGGGACAGGCTGTACCAATTATTGACTATAATATTTAGGTTAGTTACTTCAAAACTCATTTTCATCAAATGGAATGATTAGCTTTTACTAATAAAAGATCTTTAATAGAGCTTTCTTGATAGAGTAATTTAGATACTAGTAAAAAGAAGCTAAGATATTTTGCTTATATGAATAAAATATATGCGCCTTCATGCTCACTTTCAAAATCTCGCTGGCGTTGACTTTAGTCAACTAGAGTGAGATCTAGGGAAAGAATGCTAAGGTGGCTTCAGTGACACTTCAGGTTACAGTTTCTTGATGAGATTAGCTTTATTGCCTAAAAACTAACTGTTTCTCTCAGGTATTGCAGATAATTAGCTGGTTAACTGATAGATTCTACAATTATTTATATATATATAGTTTGTCTATTTTGTGTGTATATATATATATATGTGTGTATATATATATATATATATGTATATATATCTGTTCTATCTAAGTATTTGTTACAAGGATAATGATCACTCATTTTTTGATTTCTTGACAGAACCAAATTATTTAATTTTGGCATTTTTATTTTTCTGTTACCTCACCATTTTGATTTGAAAAAAGCTTCTAGAATTTTCTTAATGCTAAAGAGGGTCTTATCTCTACTCTTGAGAAACATGCGTATGATGCATGTTTTCTTTTCTGTGTAGTGAGAGGTTTTTACTTTGATTCTTCTCTTCCACCCCATTGTTCTCCTGTGCGGTAGCCAGAATGGTCATCTGAAAATTCAGATCCTATCATGTCATTCCGTGCATTTATTGTAGCTTCCAGCTTCACTTCTGCCCATCTCTTGAGCCTCCTCCTTCTGCTCAGTACCTTTTAGTCACACGGACCCCTCAGTTTTTCACAGCATTTCATATTGTATGTGTTTCTGCTTTAGATTCTTGATTAGGACAAATAATGTATTTTCATTCACTGCTCTAAAGCATGATGCACCATAAACTGTGATGCTCAGACATTTACTTTTCTTAAAATTCTATGATTCCTATTGCTTTGAGACAGGTATGTACCTTTTCCTTTCTCTTGTTATAGTATTTTTTTGAATCTCCCCCTGCCACTTGGACATTGATATTAAAATAAAATTTTAACTTTTTTTTGTGGTATTGGGGTTTGAACTTAGGGTCTCATGCATGTTAAGCAGGCATTCTACCACTTGAGCCACTCCACCAGCCATGAAATTTTAACTTTAATTTTAATTTGGTAAGTCTCAAATTACAAAGCCATGTGAAGACTTGGTAAGCCCCAAGATATATCAGTTTCTGTTGCATTCTTTTGATTTCTAGGATAGTTTAAAAATGACTAGAGTGTTCCTAGTCATTTGTTTGAATGTGACTTTGTCTGTGCCTGACTTTGTTTAGGGATAGCCTTGGCCTGTCCCTACTGTAAAATCTGAGTCTAAATTTATCAGTGTTGTGTAGTTATGCCATAAGCTTACTCCTTTTAATATTGTCTGTATTGATATATGTCGTCTAAAATGCAAGAATGTTAGTGAAATAAAGCTGAACACTACTGCCATACTGCCCAGATAAAGTAAATTTTGAGGATCAAGTCACCTAATTACTGCCTGGGTGTTTACCTAGTGTCTAAAAACTGAAGTATCTGCCAAAGGGAGCCATTTAGTCCACTCTTGGCCCTAACTGTGCTTTTTGTTTCTCTCAGAGGAAAGTGGGATCCCAGAAGTTCATCCTATTCTATTTTCCCCTCTCCTCCCTTCTCCCTCTTTCCTTCCCTCCCCTTCCCCTCCTCTCCCCTCCTGTCCATTCTTTTTCTCTTTTCGCTATCATTTCCCTCTCTCTTCCTCTTTCCCTCTATCTCCCTTTCTCCCCCCTTCTCTCCCCCTAATACTGGCTTTGTACTTAGGCACTCTACCATTTGAGCCATACAGTAATAACTATGGGTCTGAACCTCTTGGGAGGGAATTGGCTCTGCCTGCTAAAGCAGTTTTTGTAGTTGAACTGCCTCTGGCAAACCAGTGTGTTTTATTTAAAGCTCTTCAGTGCTAAGTAAATCTTGACAAAGCCCCATATCTCATAGAAACCATACCATAGAATTCCTTTTTAAAGCCCTGGATTATTAAATGAAATATTTGGGGTAAGCATTTTGCATTAATGATCTTAATAATACACTTGAAAAATGTCCTTCTATATTGTCATTACATGGCTTTATGTTGAGTCCCAAAGACCTTACTGGAAGGACCCATGAGCTCTGAGGGCTTACTTGTAGTAACGGGGGAAAGACTCAGTAAGATGGAGTTGCACGTGGGAATGGTGGTTCATGCCTATAATACCAACTACGCAAGAGGCATAGGTAGGAGGATTGAGGTTTTAGGTTGACCCCAGGCAGAAATGTGAGACCCTGCCTGAAAAATAACTAAAGCAAGAAAGGATTGGGAGCATTGCTCAAGTGATAGTACATGCCTAGCAAGCACAAGACCCTGAGTTGAAACCCCAGTACTGCAAAAAAAAAAAAAAAAAAAAAGCAGTTGTAGAGTCCCAGATCTTTCTTCACCTGCAGCCTATTTCTTGGATGCTTTGAAGGAACTGTAGTTCTGCCATCCACAGCTGCTCTGAAGCTTTAAGGCATGTGATAGGCTAATATTGTGGAAAGCATGGGCTGAGGGAGTTTAGTTTTCTACCTTGGTATTTACCAGTGAACTTGAGTACATTACTTAGACTTTGTACAGCCTACTTTCCATATCCATAAAAGGGAGAAATATCTGCTTTATACAGTTGTTTTATATTAGATAATATATGTGAGATTTTCTGTCACATAGAAAGTTTTCAGTATATTAACTCTTCTTGTACATCAATATTCTGATTATTCTTTAGCTGTGGTGGAAATCCTTTGTATCCACCAATACAGAGATGGGCTTTCCTAGTCTGTTGGGATCCAGCAAGGATCATTTTAGTCTTGTCTGCAACTTTCCCCCAAGAATGTAGATTCGAAAATGTTTATAACAAATGTGACTAGTTCATCTATTTCTGATGAACTAAATAGGGAGAATGGCATTTGAGCAATCTGAAAATACTATTTTAAATTGTAAGAGAATATTTTAAAAGTGATCAGATGGATTGGTGATGTATTCAGTGGTAGAGCACTTGCTAACATGAGCGAAGCCCTGGATTGTATCATCCACATCCCTCTCCTACAGAAGTGATTTCATTATGATATTTTGAAAGCTTAATAATGTTAATTAAAATTATCTTGTTATTGACCAAACTTTTTTTATACATATCCCCAGGGAAGGAAAATATGCAAGATGGTGCAAGTGATGGTGAAATTCCAAAATTTGATGGTGCTGGATATGATAAGGATCTGGTGGAAGCCCTTGAGAGAGACATTGTGTCCAGGAATCCTAGCATTCACTGGTTAGAGTATTTGAAGTTCTGAATTAAAGTAGAAGATAAAACAGGTCATAGCTTGGCTTGGTGTGATTCTTCTCTTGTTTATCCATTATCTCCAGATTATGCCTTCATCTATAATATGAATATAAGAATTGACAGAACAGTTCTGTCAGAATGTAACCAAGGACATTTCACGTGTTAATTTGGTGTTGACATAACTGACAAAGGTTGTTAATTGAATAACATGTCCTAATTAATAACTGCAATATATTTTCACTGATCATTTCAAGTAGAAAGAATTAGAATAATGCTCTTAATATAAGAATAATTTCATAAGTAAAAAGTTTTTAAAAATTATTTTCACCATAATTCAAGGGTATTGCCAAATAAACATTATGAAACTTTGTTGTTCTTGCAAAGGGATGATATAGCAGATCTGGAGGAAGCTAAGAAGTTGCTAAGGGAAGCTGTTGTTCTTCCAATGTGGATGCCTGACTTTTTCAAAGGGATTAGAAGGCCATGGAAGGTGAGAATTTGTTGAACTAGTTTTGTATAAGAATGCTGCTTGCATGATAATGAAAGGCACCAATGCTGTAGATTTTTATGTGTTCAGCAGTCTGTAAGGTTGAGGGAGACTTTTAAACACCCAGAATGCCTCAATTTGACTTTCTAGTTGAGGTGTGCTGTATCTGCAGGGCAGGAGAGGCAGCCTTGGATTGCTGAGACTGCTCTCTTTAAAGTCACTTCTCTCAGGCGCTGAGCTAGAGGTTAGTCTAGAATATTGTACATGTTTTTCTAGAAAGAAAAAGTTAACAAGTGAATTAAAAAGTAATAGAATATAGTCTTGTAGAATGTGTTTGATCATACAAATAACTTTTTAAAAGTTGACATACTTCTCACTTATCATTAACTGTGTTGATAATCATTTAATCTGTGCCCAGTATAATTCTCAGACATAATCAGAATGCTTGCTTCTTTCTATCCTGCCCTCTCTGCCTTAGAGTTTAAAGCACACCTGGGATTAGTATTTTCATATGAGGATGCTAAAGAACTTCCCTAAGTTGCATGGAAGCTCCTACCTGCCTAGCTACCTGGAATCTTTTTTTTTTTCTTTTTTGTCTTAACCATAGGCAATTTTCCTTTATTTTGACTAGTAGAATGAAATTAATTCATGGTCTCACTTGGGCCTTCTGACTTAGCTAGAAAGGTCTGTTTCTCTGCTTAATACCTCCTTCTCTGTCCATGTACTGAAAAGAGAGGAGAAATTGTACATTTACCTGAATTGTGTAGAACACTCATGGCATTTAGATTGCCTCTCACAACTTGAAAAGTTTTATAGACTACAGTTATTATATAAATATTTATACTTATTTTTAATTGACACATAATTATACATATTAGGGAGATACAGGTATTTCAATACATTTATACAATGCATGTATAATGCATTGATCAGATCAGTATAGTTGGCATATCACCTCAAATGTTTATCATTTCTTTGTGTGAGGAACATCCAAAATCCTCTCTAATATACAATTACTTGTTGGCCACCCATAGTTACCCTGTTGTGCTGGGACTTTAGAAGCTATCCCCTGATCCAGCGGTTCCCTTTCTGCTCTCCCTCTCTTTATCCCTTTTTCCCCCATGCTTCCCAGCTCCTCATAATCACTATTCTACTCTCTATTTGTATGAGATCAGGTTTTTTGTTTTTTTTTAAATATGGAACGTGTCATGAATTTGCGCGTCATCCTTGCACAGGAACCATGCTAATCTTCTTTGTATTGTTCCAACTTTAGTATATGTGCTGCCGAAGTGAGCATGAGATCACTTTTTTTAAGCTTTTACATATAAGTGAGAACATTCAGTATTTGTCTTTCTGTGCCTGACTTATTTAACATAATGTCCTCTGGGCTCATCCATGTTGTTGCAAATTATAGTATCTCATTTTTTATTGGTGAATAATATTCATCTGTCTATTCATTGATGGACACCTAAGTTTATTCTGGGCATGAGGCCAGGAGTTCAAAACCCATCACTGCTAAAATAGAAAAAAAAAAGGTTGAGACTTATTTTGTAGCCTAACACACAAGATGTCTTATGGAGAAATATGCCATGTGCTGATGAGCAGATGTTGGATGAAATGATTTGTAAATGTCTGTTGGTCTATAATAGAGTTTAACCCAGAGGTTTCTTTGTTGATTTTTCATCGGGTATGCCCACTGATGAAAGTGGGGTGTTGGAGCACCCAACTACTATTGTTTCCCTAATAAGGTGTCCCAAAGGTCCAACAGGCTTCCTTTGTTCTTTTTCATTCTTTTGTCTTTGAGTGGGTTAATTTTAAAAAACCTATTTTTAAAAACCATATACAGAAAAAAATAAAATAAAATAAATTAAAAACTAAATTTAAAAGCATGTCTTCAAGCTCAACTATTCTATTCTGCTTTAGCCAGTCTATTTTTGTGGTTCTTGTTATATGTTTTTATATTCTCATTGAATTCTTCAGCTACAAGATTTCTGACTGTTTTTTTTTTTTTATATCTGTGTTTTTTGAATTTCTTATTCAAATTATGAATTATAATCTTGACTGTATTGACTTTATTGTCTTTGCTCCCTTATATTTCACTGAGTTTAAGATCATTATTTTTAATTCCTTTTCAAACATTTCTTAAATTCATTTTCTTTGGGGTTTGTTACTGGGGAATTTCTGTACTTTCTCAGGGTGCCTTGTTCCTTGCTCTTTCGTTTCTTGTGTTCCTACATTGATATCTGTGTATCTAGTGGAACAGTTGCCTTTTCCAATTTTATGGAGTTTTTTTTTTTCCTCCCCATGGGGAGAGACTTTTTCCCATGATGGGGACTGGGGCTGGTTGGTTCTGATTCTGGGTGAACACTGTAGTATCAGAGAGAAGTCAGGGAGATAAGAATGAAGCATAGCCAGAGAATTTGTAGGGTCAAGTGAAGGATTTTTTTTAATTTTTAAAGGTACAGATTTAAGTTCTCTCTCTCCCCCCACCCCACCCTTTGCCCTGGATTGAATCTAGGACTTTACACATGCTCTGCCACTGACCTGCACTCCCAGTTTTTAGGTATCTTTCTGTACTGAGGAGAAAGAGCCCGGTATTCAGGAAAGAAAGAAATAATAGGAGTATGTAATGAGGAGGTGAAATTTAGAAATACTATACCTATGAACCATATCTAGGTTCAGATGCTAGTGTTGGAAATTAACTCCTATTGGAGGCAGTTGTATTACTGGCATTACAGGAACAGAGAAGGCCTTGCAGGGAGATGTTAGAAAGTGGTGTGGTAGCCCACATCTACAGTCTCAGCACTTGGGAGGCTGAGGCAGGGGGATTCCAAGTTTGAAGCCAGCCTGGGATAAATAGCAAGACCCTGTTTCAAAAAACTGAGGGAGGGGGAATATGAATGAAAAATGATATTTGATATATTGTTCCTGATAGCAGTGCATTTTCAAAATCTCAGTCTCACATGCAGTTAAAACTGCCCTCAAAGGAAAAAGAAATTTTTATAAAACTAGTGTTTCAAGTTCTAGTGATCCCTAGTTGTTCTGTGGATCAAAATTGTATAGCTAGAAAAGCATTTGAAACAGATCTTGAATTTTAAGCTTTGGTACTTTAGTGTACATATAGATTTTAAAATACAAACTTCCAGAAGCTTATCAAACTAAATTAGCAACAGGGTCAGAATTCTTCTTAAAGAATCACTAATAATTATGCAAAAATGTAGTATATACATTAAAAATGTCTTTTAAAAATACTGGAAGAGGGCTGGAGACATGGCTTAAGTGGTAGAGCACCTGCCTAACAAATGCAATGCCCTGAGTTCAAATCCCCAGTACCACCCCCCCAAAAAAAGTTGGAAGAAAATAATGATTTTAAAATTTATTAGTCTTCAGCACTTAGAGGATTGGTTTCCTAGAATCATTTTTATTCTTCACTGATTTGTTTTTTTTTTTTGTAAAATACTTTGTTTTCAAAGATAAGAAGTAAGTAAATTTTCTAGTCTATATTTAGTTAGGTTTAGGAAGTGTGCTTTCTAAATGAATGAGCAGGTTCTTGGTTGTCCAACCAAGCCTTTATTGGGTCATCTCTGACTACCTCTAATTTGTGACTTTTAGTGAAATCACTCTTCATTTTTTCTATCTATAAAACAATACTCTTGTCAAATGCACCATGATCTTACTGTGACAAATGAGTTTGAATTTTGATGGGAAGATATTCATGTACTACAGACTTAATGGTCGATAATTTATGACAATGCATTTTAATCTGAGAATTCATTTAATTTTCTGAAATTTCAGGGTGTGCTGATGGTAGGACCCCCGGGCACTGGTAAGACTATGCTAGCTAAAGCTGTTGCCACTGAGTGTGGCACAACATTCTTCAATGTCTCTTCCTCCACCCTGACATCTAAATACAGAGGGGAATCTGAGAAGTTAGTCCGCTTGTTGTTTGAAATGGTGAGTGATAATGTATGCAGATTTCAAAGTACTGTTTGTGTAGGTGTATGGTGCTCCATAACCTAGGTCTGTTCACCTAGGGATCTTTTTGAAAAGAGCAGTGTGGTTTTAATATTTTAATAGTTCTAGACACCTAATGAGACACATGGGTGTTGCGTTTTGTAGTAGGGTAGTTGGTGTATCCTCAGTGTCTATTCTTCTCTGTCCAGAGGGAGTAGAAGAGACTTTGTTCATATGTGGGTTGATCTGTATTTCTGGATGTCTAGTACACTAGTGGAACAGAAGAATATTTTAATATATATTTTTAAAATCAGCTAGAAAACAACTGATCTGTCATTAAAATTTATTCCTTTTTCTTAATTAATTAAATAATTTTGGCACAGTATTGGGGTTTGAACTCAGGGCCTCATGTTTGCTAAGTTGGTGCTCTACCACTTGAGCCACACCGCCAGCCCCTTTTGCGTTTGTTATTTTTCAAATAGGTCTCACTTTTATGTCTGAACTGGCCTGAACCATAGTCCTCCTATTTATGCTTCCTGTGTAGCTGGGATTACAGGCACATGCACCACATCTAGCTTTCTATTGGTTGAAATGCGATCTTGTGAATTTTTTGCCTAGACCTTGAACCATGATCCTTTTGATTTCTTGCCTCCTGCATAGCTAGAATTATAAACAGGAGCTACTATCCTTATCTCAACCAGCAAAACCCCTTGTTCCTTCCTATTATTGCTTATACTCTCTCTACAACAAAATTACAGATAAGGGCAAAATAGTTTCTGCTGGGTATTGAGGGGGGGAGCGGGAGGGGGTGGAGTGGGTGGTAAGGGAGGGGGTGGGGGCAGGGGGGAGAAATAAACCAAGCCTTGTATGCACATATGAATAATAAAAGAAAAATGAAAAAAAAAATAAAAAAAAAAAAAACAGGAGCTACTACACATGCTTGCTTTAGTTATTTTGACATAGGGTCTTGTGTTTCTGCCTGGGCCAGCCTGGACTATGATGCTCTTACATAGGGCCTCCTGCATAGCCAAGATGATAGGCATGCACCACCAGATCCAGCTCTTTTTTTGTTAAGATGGGGGGAGGTCTCACTTACATTTTTGCCCAGACAGGTCTCAAATCATACATAATCTTTCTGCTCTCTGCCTTCCAAGTAGCTGGGATTACAGGCATGTATCACTATACCCAGCTTTGTTCACAGGATTTGAAAGAAGTGATAATGCATATTTGAAGAGAAAAGTTGATTTATCTTTTTAAAAACTTTCCATTATAGAAATTTCTAAACACAAATGTAGAAAGAATAGTACAATGAATCCCAATATGTCTACCACCCAACTTACTAACTATATAATTTTTATTTTTAGAAATTTCTTTTTTGCTGATGTGATTATTAATTTAGCCTATGTCAATAACCAATTGGTGGAGACATTACAGAGAACTTTCATTTGCTATCATTTTATAAGGAGAAAATGTTATTTAAAAATACCCAGATTGTCTTAGGAGCTATTGGATGATTTCTTTACAATGTTTTCACAAAGGCTAGGTTTTATGCCCCTACCACCATCTTCATCGATGAAATAGACTCAATCTGTAGTCGAAGAGGAACATCTGATGAACATGAAGCAAGTCGCAGAGTCAAGTCCGAGCTCCTCATTCAGATGGATGGTAATTAACGTTAATTACTGTCTCAAAATTTGTATCTTTTCCCTTTTGAACTTTGTTTAGATTTAAAATTCAGAAGTTACCAACGAATGGACTAGAAGGCGGCTGGAATTAATTTTTATTCATTTATTCAGCCACCATTTGTTCATGTACTTGGAAAGCATTATTGCATACTTGTAATGAATCATGTACCATTCCAGGTTTTAGGTTACAGAGGGAAGTATGACTCCCATGGCCTTCAACAAGTAACAATTAGAGCAAAAGCTGGGGCCTTGAGACCCTTTTAAAAGGTCTGCAGAATCTAAACTGTTGGGACAGGGAATGTCGCTCAGTGGTTTGCTTAGCATGCATGAGGCTCTGGGTTCAATCCCAGAACCACAAAAAAAAAAAAAAAATCCTCAAAAAATTAAGCTATCTTAATTGTAATATCAAAGCATTTTTTGCCTTTTTCACCCTCATTCTCTTACAAGTATATAGTGGAGTTTTTCAGAGGTTGCAAGGCCTGGGAATATCAGAACATGGAAAGCAGAAGCAGATGGGAGAATCTAGCTGTTCTCTATTTAGTCAGATATTTGTCACATGTTCACTGGAGTTTCTTCTTGCTTACTTTCTTTTTGTTTTGAAAAAAATACATGTTTTTTTAATAAAGTATGTTATTTATTTAACAAGCCATGAATGATTTATTCTTATTTTAAAATGAATTAATATTTTGTTTTGAACTTTTTTTGTGTATGCTGGGGATTGAACCCAGGGCCTTTCCATGCTGGGCAGGTGCTCTGCCATTGAGTCCCTTTGTTTTAATTTCTAATGCAAATGTTGGTAGATATTTAACACAAAAAAGCTCTTTAGAGCACCTCATAATTTTTAAGAGAATAAAAGGATCCTGAGAATCACTATTAGATATGAAACAGGTAACTGATGAGAAAATTATAATACATTATAGTATGTTCTGTGGTACACTCTAGGTGCAATGAAAACACATTCAGAATCATACCAATAGACTACGGGATTTGTGGAAAGGTATGGCTGAGTCAGGCTTTGACGCATTGGGTAGAGTTGTTCAGATAAAGAAAAGGCATTTCCTGAGGGGTGAAGAGGATAGAAGTATGCTGCATATATACATATGAAGACAGCATAATGAAACCCAGCAAACACCTTTTGAAAGGGGGAGGAAAGGAGGAGAAATGAAAATATAATGGAGGGAGTGAACTTGTTCAAGGTACACTGTTATGCATGTATGATATCACCATGAAATATCCTTGCATTATTAATGTATGATAATTCAAAATTAAGATAATAAAAACAAAAGGCATTGGGGTAGCAAAGAAGACAGTTGTGGGCTTATCTGCTGTCTAGAGATATCTTACTCTGGTAGTTGTGTGGTAAACAACATGTAATTTAAGCAAACCATGAGAAAAGTAAAAATGTGTTTAAAATACCTAGAGTGTATTGTTTCAAAACAGCCATGGTTATCATCCTTCAACTGTAGATACTTACTAAATACTTACTATGTGTGCTACATAGTGCCAGACACTACAAGACAAATAAAATAATACACTAAGAGTCCCTTCCTTTCATGAGTTTACAATTTTAACTTTTTTTTCACAAATAGGACTTTTTATCACTATTAAAAAGTCTGAATTTTAAACAGATTCCTGGACTGGTGGCTCAAGTCCATCAGTTCATTTGACTTTAGTATCCGTCTCATCACCTGTGGGTTTTCCCCCATTCAAACTTAGGTTTCTTTAGGATAAGAAAAGAGAATGGCTATGTTATAGTTTTTTGTAGGGGAGTTAATAAGGGAGAACTTTAGATATTTAAAATTGGGGAAAAATCACTGAATGCAAATTTAGCAGGATTTCATTGAGGTTTTTTGTTTTTTGTTTTGTTTTGTTTTTTTTCTTTTTGTGGTACTAGGATTTAAACTCAAGGGCCTCACATTTGCTAGACAGACACTCTACTACTTGAACCACTCTGCCAGTCCTATTTTGTGTTGGGTTTTTTTTGAGATAGGGTCTTGCAAACTGTTTGCCCAGGGTGGCTTCAAACTACAATCTTCTGGATCTCTGCCTCCTGAGTAGCTAGGATTATAGGCGTGAGCCACAGTGCCTAGCAAGGGGTATTTTTGACTGTAGTTGGTTATTAGTTGGAAAGCTTGATTCTTTGTGATAATATTGGAATAGGAGTTTAGTAGTAATATATAAGAAAGTACATTTTGAACTGGTTGCTCTATACCAGGCTAGAAAGTCATATCAATATTTTGTGAGTTTTACATATATATGTATAGATGCCTGTATATTTGTATAATTTCACTATTTTCCAGAGTTTATGTTTTGTGACCTTAAATTTTTTTATCCTGTAATTTTAATTCTGGAAGGTAGGCTCTGTACATATCTATAGCCAGTTTGGCTGTAAAACACTCTCCTGTGTTTCATCAGTGTTTATTAGTTCATTCTTAAATTTTTTTTTTTGTTATTTTTTATCAAGTCATTTGAAGTTGGAAGGACAAAAATTATTGCAGTGTAATCTGTCTTTCAAAATTATGTCTGAAGTGCTGTGTGAACCCTCAGCTGTTGTTGCTTCTTTAGAAAACCAAATAATTTTGTTAATTATTTGTAATAATAAATAACAACTAAAAATAATATTGAAGAAGTTTATTGGTTAAAAACAAAGAAAGAGTTAAAACAGAGCCTAACCTCTGGTGCCTTTTCTTTTCAGAGGAAATATGCATTTATTTTCTTAGAAAAAATTTTTTTTTCTTATTGAATTAGAACCCTGCACTGGATTATGTTAAATCTTTTGCTTCCTGCTGATGTGTCTGTTTTTGTACAATGTAGAGGTCGAAAAATTTACTGTTTTCCTTGTTGATTCATACCACCAGGCACTATGGTTAACATTTAGAAATGTTGATTGAGGGAAAGAATCAAAGGCCACAATAAAAACACTGATGGTATTTTCCCCAATTCACTGTGTCTAGGGGTTGGAGGAGCATTAGAAAATGATGATCCTTCCAAAATGGTTTGGTATTGGCTGCTACTAATTTCCCATGGGACATTGATGAGCTTTGAGAAGGAGATTAGAAAAAAGGATATACATCCCTCTCCCAACAGGTAGGTGCCTTCCTTCTACTCTATTTTCAGCTTTCTGCCTTTCCTGTTACCCTTTTTCTATTATCTAAATTTATTCCAGTCTAATTCAGCTTAAAGAAATGTAATCATTTCAGAACAGTTTTGTAATAGCAGAAAAGAGGACACAGTGCTCTGTTGAAGTTCCTTACAGTTCGGAGAAATTCTCACATTTGAGCAGCATTTATGTTATAAATTTGGTAGCACTTAAGATTTTACTTTTAAACTTTTGAAATAGTCTTCATTAAACCTTATATAAGTGATTAAAAACAAAAGTTCTTGGTCTTTTTCAAAATATGTCATTTTGAAAAGTATAGTTTCATTTTGTTAAATGCTGGAATTTCTTAAGTCGTTTTTTTCCATCTTGCTAAAATTTACAATAGTGAACGTGTATATCTAAATATATAGTTGATGAGTTTTGATAATAAATGCATCCTCCAGTTTGATCAGTACGTTGTTTTAAGTTATAGGACCATTCTATACTACCCATGGAAAGTTTTTAGTGCCCCACCAGTTCATTCAGACCTCCATTAGATATTCTTTTTCCTGATTTTTTGTCACCATAGATTAGTTTTCCCTCCTGTTAAACTTCATGTAATAAATTATAACAACATATAGTCTTTGTATCTGTCATTCAGTAATGTGCTCGAGATTCATTCATGTGATTACATGTATCAGTAGTTTACTCTTGATATCGATTAAACCACAATTTGTTATTTTCTTGTTGATGGGCATTTGAGATGCTTCTCGTTTTTTTAATAAAGCTACAAAGTTCTTGTACAATCTTTCTATGGATGAATGATTCTTATCTTTTGGGTATATAATATAGAATGGAGGTAATAGGGAAGTATATGTTTCTTTATAAGAAATACCCAACGGTTTTCCAGACTTGGCCATTTTATACTCTTACCTTTAATAAACAAGAATTCCAATACTGCAACATCCTTGACAGAATTTGCTATTTATTCATTCTAGAACAGTGTGAAATGCTATGACTTCAAGTCATGTTTCTCTGATGACTTAAGATGTTGAGCATTCTTTCATGTGCTTGTTTGGTCGTTATGCATAGCATCCTTTTCCACATTGTTAAAGAAGTGTATTTGTATTTTATTACATTAGTTATATAAGTTTCATTTCAGTTAAGTGCTTGTGACATGTTCTTCCAATTTGATTTACTTTTGTCATCTTTCTTTCTTTTTTTTAAATCATAATATTATCGTGTCTAGTCTGGCGGTACATTGTTTGATGTTTAAACAAAAGTTTTTTTAATGAAATAGTCAATCAGTTGAATTCACTGCCCCTCTATCATTTTTCTTTATCCTTCGCTTTCCCCCATTATCCTGGAATAATTTTTCAGCAGGTCGCTCATTGTTCATATTTCATATACCTAAGTAAATAGTTCTTAAATGGTGGTCCTTTTGATAAATTTACATAGATAAAGTACTCTTGTCAGACTTTGTTCTTTTCATGGTTAATTCTGGGTATCCTAGGGTTGTAAAGCATAGTTCTCCTGTATTACGTTTAGAGAGCTATATTTCGTACAGCCATGTAAGGTAACATGTAACAAAAAGGGTGAAAAATAAAATTAAAAGAAAGGAAAAAAAAAAAAGAAGCTGTGTTTAGATCTGTGACCCCTCTTGAATTACTTTTGTGTGGTGCATGTGTGGTTAGGAGTTGAAATTTATCTTTCATATGGTGTTTTTTTATTATAAGCGTAGCACCACTTGTTGACAAAAAATTCTTCCATTAAATTTACTCTCACAAATATTTCTTGGAGGTACTAAGAGTTTGAAACTCAGGCCTTGCACTGTACAAGGCAGGCACTCTACCATTGAGCCAACACCCCCAGCCCTTGTTGCTTTATTTTTTGATGTAGGGCCTTTGCTTCAAGTTACCTGTTTTCTTCTTGGAAGTAAAGTTTTTGGATAGCTTGTATATTTCAAAAATTTTGGTACATTTCTTCTAAGTTTGATAAGTTTATTTGGATTTTGACGCCTAATACAAATGTTTGAAGGTGGCTAAACAGTTTATATGAAACTGTTGCTGTCCTCATCCTGGTTCTGGAAACTTGAAGTCTTATCTGTAGGAAAGCGCACTCAGGAAGAGATGATGTGAAGTAATGTAAGTAAACTGCACAAGCTGTTATCCATCTATGGGAGATCGAGTGGGACGCAGTAGGATAGGTAGGTTGGAATCCCATGATGGGCTCTTCTATGAATTTCCTAACTTCCAGTGCTGGGCTTTCCTGACCAGCAAGAACCTGCTCAGGCGAGTCAAAATATCAAGAGAGGAGGAAATAATGGTAGGCAGCTAAAAAAGAGCTTAGAAGCACAAGTGTTGCCACACACCTACAAGGGTGAACTAATGAATAAAGTGAGAGGAGGGTATAGAACTTTCTGAGTTGAATTCATTTCTGCCTTTTAAAGTCTCATCACACAAATTGACTTACATGGTCTGTACTTAACTATTTTTAAAATGTAAATTTTTACCGCTGTAAATTTCTCTTAAAGCACACTTCTTTGGCTTCATCTTAAAATATTTACTAATTTTTCCCTTTTCTTTCTTTGGGCTCCTTGGGTTACCAAGAACTATCTAGCAATATATTTGGGAATTTTCTAGATTATCTTATTGGTTCGATTTCTCCAACTTAAATTTTAATTATTAATCAGGAACATACTGATGAAATTTTTTATTTGAGATTTCTTTCATGGCATATACAGTCCTATTTGGTGACTGCTACATTTGCAACTGAATACCAATTGTTTTTCTGTGCTTATTTTTAATATTCTATAAATATGATTTTAATAAGTTGATTAGATAGTAATTCAGATCGTCAAGATTCTTGCCTGATTTTTTTAGTCTAGTTTTTTTAAATCAGTTATACTGAGTAGCTTATTAAAGGATCTTACACTGTGCATAATTTAATTTATCTCTCCTTTAATTCTGCAGTTTCCTTTAATGCATTTTGATTTCTTTTTTCTTTTTTTTGCAGTATTGGGGATTGGAACTCAGGGCCTCGTGCTTATTCTAGGCAAGGTGCTCTTTCCCACTTGAGCCACTCTTCAGACTGCTTATAGCGTTTTTTAGTTCTGTTATTAGGCATAGGTAATTATCTCTATTCTGTCTTTTATCTTTGAATGCCTTTGCTTATCTCTGGTAATACACTGACTTGATATCTACTTTGACATTATGGACCTCATATCTTTCTTTTGCTTTGCATGTTTATATCTGCTTTTTTTTCTTTGATTTTAACCCCGTCTGTCTTCACATTTAAGGTACATTTCTTATATACAGCAAATAAGTGAGTCTTGCTATTTATTCAGTTTTATCTCTGCTTTTTAATCAAAGCATTTAATCCATTTAAATTTACTGTAATTGTTGATATGGGCTGGATTTAAATCTGCCACCTGCTTTTCTCTCACTACCTTTAAGATTCTTCTTTTGACTTTTGGTGGCTTGATTATAATGTGGTCTCCATGTTGGACTTGAGTCTGTCTTTTTGAGATTTGATGTATAATTTTCCCTTCTCATGTTCTGGGAAGATTTTGGTTGTTATTTTTCTTCAGATAAAGAGTCTGTCCATTTTCTCAGTCTCTTCCCTTTGGAATTCTTATAAGTCTTTTAAGCTTTTGCCCTTTTTCTTCATTCTTTTTTAAAATTTTTTAACCTTCTTTGACTCAGTAATTTCAAATGACCCTGCCTTGAGTTCACTGATTCTTTTTTTTTGCTTGATCAAGCCAGCTTTTGATCCCCTCTACTGGAAATTTTCATTCAATTTTATATTCTTTCAGCTCTAGAATTTGTTTTGAATTCTTTTTTAGCTTTCTCTTTGTTTTCATTTTGTTATTGCATCATTTTCCTGTTTTCACTTAGTTGTTTATCTGTGTTCTTGTATATCACAGAGATTTCTTTAAGATCATCATTATTTTGAATTTCTTGCCAGATAACTCATAGATTTTGGGGTTTTTTTGTTGTTGTTGTTGCAATTTTTTGTCATTGATAAGAATAGCCACTTTTTTCCAATTTTTATGGACTGGCATTGTAAGGGTAAAAAACCTTTTCCTTTACCAAGTAGGCCTGGCTAGAGATTTAGGCCTCTCAAATCTTTTGTGGGCACGCCTTCCTCTGTGGGCTTTATATTTAGTGTCTCATTTCCCAATTAAGAGAGGTTTGCTGGTTTACTTTTCAGGAGTTTTGTGTTCCTTTGCTCCCTCTGGTGTCTGTCTTTGGTATTGTAATTCTGTACCTTACACAAGGCTCTTAACCTGTCTTGTTCTTTGTGGCCATCCCTTACCCTCCAAGGTTATACCACTTCCATCAGTGCCCCAAGTCAAATGAGACAAATTCTCCCTGTGCAGTTTCCAGAAAGCCAGAATGTTAGATCTATGTTCCATTTTTTCCTTTCTCTCCAGGGGAGGAACTTTCTTCCAGTCATACAGAGGTATGCGGAGCTTTTTGTCTGTGGTATGTGGTTCATAAGCTACCATGCATGACAGCTTGAGTTCTGACTTTTTTTTGGTTTTTTGGTTTTTTTTTGTTTTGTTTTGTGGTACTGGGGGATTGAACTAAGGCTTCACTTACGCTAGGCATGTGCTCTAGAACTTGAGCCACACTCTCCAGTCCATTATTTTTGATTTTGGACAGGGTCTTGCTTCTTTGCCTGGGCTATTCTCAACTGGTGATCCTCCTGCCTCTGCCTCATGACTAGCTTGGGTTACAGGTAACTACCACTAATTCTCTAAGTTCTCTCTTTGTTCTTAGCTCAAGGTAGACCATCCAGCTGGTTGCATGTTAGTGCTTCAAGTTTAGGGAGAAAGATTCAAGTTCTTTGGGCAGCCGTCTGAAAGAAGTGGAACATACTGCATGCATGTTCTGCTCCTCTCTTTTCCTTCTCTTCCCTGCTTGGTCTTGGGAGCTGCAAGTCCCCCTGCTCTCAGTTGCACTGGCATGGGGAAGAGCTGATTGGCTTGAAGAAGCACCCCTTT